TAAATCATTGATAAATTGAACGAATAAGATATCAATCAATGGATGGTTGTTCATAAAATAGATTAATTGCCAATCAGCAATTGTATTGAAAGAAGTATTCGATTGTTCTGTATCATCCTGATCAAATTTTGTAGGAAAAAAATATGTAGAGATATGAAAAAGTTCAATTTAGTCTGAAAGAGTTGAACCAAAGTGTTCATTTGGACTTCTAAGATCAGTGTTTTCTGAGCTTACATCAATTCATTGTGAACAAACAAGAGAAAAGTTAATTGGGAGAAAATATAGTATTCCTTCCAACTTTTCTTCGAATTTTTGGTGTGGTAGTAGCGAATAATCAATAGAAAACTGGACAAAAATCTCTGCAACTCATACAATTTTTGTTCTTGTAATATCATCACTATTAAGCATATCGTAACAAATTTTCTCACTTTTGTTTTTCAGTTTAATTCAAGCAAGTAAGAATTTCGTTTTAAGTAGCCATATTCAGGAGTTTCTACTCAATTTATTCATTGAATTACTACCAAATTCAACGTTAATCAATAGTCAATCGATAAAAACATTTCAAACTTCTACTATGGATTTGGTATTTCTAGTGTTCGAAAGACAAAAATATTGATCAATAGTAGCTAATCAATTCGAATTTGATGTTGCTCGATTTTCTGAAAATTTCCATAATCTATTGACACTTGTCGATGTTATCAATGCTTTGACTGATAAAACAAAGCAAAGCACATTTTCTGATAAATTTATCCTTCAATCAAGTGTTCTATTGGGCATAAATAATCAATTTAATCAGGATGATACAGAACAATCGAATACTTCTTTCAATACAATTGCTGATTGGCAATTAATCCATTTTATGAACAACCCTCCATTAATCGATGTCTCATTCGTTCAATTTATCAATGATTTACCGGCTGAATCTGTATCAAATCCAATATATTACAAACTCTATTCATCTTTATCGGATATTCCCGCCATTTCAATTCGAATTCGTGCAAAAGTTCTCTATCCATTTAATTTACTTCTCGAAAATCTCGTATCCATGATTGATTGTAGTCTATTACCGAGACAAAGCGTTCTAATTGATAAAATCCTAGCCGGTAGAATCTACATGTTATATCCGATGAAATTTCGATTATTTAATGAAACGTTAGCCAACACTGAAATCATGTCCTCTGTTGATGTACCTACAATTAATTTTGATCCAGTTCAAGCAAATTCTACTTCTCCTCATGGACAATATACGATGTTTCACCAAGCTTATAAACAATTGCATAGTCTTGTACATGAACTATCTCGAAGTAAATACGATCGTTTATGGCTTGCACAATATCTCGGAATGTATAGTATTGATCAAGATGGACCCTACCGTGATTCAATATCATGTATTTGTGATGACATATGCAGTACACGATTACCATTGTTTATTTTGTGTCCTAATAGACGAACCAATAGTGGTCGAAATCGTGATCGTTGGATTTCCAATGTATTTCCGTCAAATAAATCGATACCGGATCCAATCAAAAAAATATATCGTTTCATTGCACAATTGATGGGCATGGCTACACGAAAGAAACATTATCTAGATTTTAAATTTCCCGGTTTCTTATGGAAACAATTAGTTCGAGATCAAATAACAATTGAAGATATTGAAGCAATTGATATATAAAGTTTTACATTGATCAATGAAATGGAAAAGACATATCAATGATTTAATAAATAGTGTTTGGTATGATACTCGATTCGAAGGTATTAGTGAAGCTGGTGAAATCTATGAAGTTGTTCCTGGTGATCAAAAGATTCCAATTACAGCTTCTTATTTTAAAGAATATTGTAAAATTTATCGTCAAATTGAATTTATTCGTCAGGGCTTATATAGTATTATTCCTGGTTATTTCCTAAGTTTATTTACAGCAATCGAACTTGAAGAAGTCGTATATGGAAAAGGCAAAATGGATATGGATTTATTAAAACGAAATACGATTTATGGTGAACATTACAATCAAAACTCATTATGTATTCAATATTTTTGGACGGTTCTTGTTGAAATGTTTACTGAAGAACAGAAGAAAATGTTTTTGAAATTTGTTTGCGGACGATCAACATTACCAAGCTGT